CCCCCCCCCCCCCCCCCCAAAAAAAAAGGTCATAACAATAACCAATATTCCTCAAAATATTCGAGCATCCGCTATAGTTTTATTGTTTTTTTCGACTTCATCCTTATATTTTAAGCTTCTATTTTACAACTCAATACCTAACAATAGTTTTTGTGTTCGTTCTTGCAGCCTAATATTTACCCCCACCCCCAGATAACTTGTCACCATAAAAGGTATATGTAATGGTCCATTAGTTAAATTGCAAACATGACATTCACATAACAATGGGAAGGTTTTCTTGTAGTGTTTGTTTCATCTTCTCTTTGTTTTATTGTTTATTTTCTACTTCTTCTCACTCTACTCCTTGCAAGTTGTTTCATCATTCTCTTGTTTTTCATTAATAAAAAGATCTTTCCTTTTCAAAAAAAAGAAAAAATAAGATGTGAAAATTCAAGTACGGAGTTAAACTTTTAAGCGTTAGACCAATTATATACATAACAAATATTTCATTGATTACAAAAGAGGAAACCATCCAAAGACAAGACATCCTATCAAGAGGATTACAAACGGTTCTCCAATCGATTCTTAAATCACTGGAAGCCTATAGTTGGAAGATAGGTGGAGGCATTTACACCAAGAAAGAGCCAACATTAAAATCTTATATTTCGAAGTTTCTTGTGTTCATCCAAAAAGATGATAATAAAATAGATATGGCGATGATCCCCTTCATCAAAAAAAAAAAAGAAGAAGAAGAAGAAGAAGAAAAAAAGACTTCCAATTTCCAAAAGTTGTACAATGAAATAGATACCGAGAAGTATAGACAAATTCACATTAATTTGAAAGGGCCTATGATTATTGCTCTGAAATAACTGATTTTCCATGAACATGAATTTTGTAAAACATTACCCTGTTTCTTTTAAGCACCATATCTGAGTCCTGACACAGTCTACACCGCTGAACAACTTCTCCAACTGCATGATTTTCATCCCCGCCAGAACCATTAGATCTGCATAAGTGAAAAATGATGCATGAACAAACAAAAAAAATATACAAAACCAACAAAATAAGGTAATATAGAAACACCTCTCAAAGAAAACCTCCATAGCTTCAAAAAGTTTTTGCTTATTGAACCTTGCCTGCAGATATCCCCAAGTTTATGAGGGGGGAAACACGAAAAAAAAGGCTCAGCATAAATACAATAGATCTTTCATACTTCTTACAGGAATAAACTAAACTGTCATTTTAATTTTAAAACATTTTGAATTTGAAATCTAAGCATACCTAAAATTATAATGTTTACAGGCATTGAGAATCCTCTATAACAAAGCAAAGAGTTAATTAATTTTTCCATTTTTAAAAATCAGATAAATATTTCATTCTTAAGAGTCAAAGTTCTATTATTCCCTTGAGAGTTACTTGAAATAGAAAATCTATTGGCCCTAAGAAACCCTAGAGCTCAAATTTCATGTAGTCTAACAAAAATGAGAGTTTCATCAAAACAAAACAAGAAAAACAATGAGCAAGGTTTCCGAGAGAACGAAACATTTACTAAAATTATATGAAGAAATGTGTACATAGAAGCCCTGAACTAAAGAACGTAAAATTAAGATAAAAGACAAATAACAAAAAACTTTCATCAATAATATAATAACCGTACATATTTTAACGCATGCATCGAGTATATTTCACATAAATGCATATTGAAAAGCAAGAATACATGAGGATGCTAATTAACAACCAAGTAATTATAGGCACTGCAAAGGATCTTGTGCCTTACTATCAACCACGCATGTAGAAGCAACTACTTGTAAGGTAGCTTCCCTCACAAAATACCAAATTACTAGATAGGCATACAACGTTCACAAGATGATTGGGGAAGCTACCATTTTCTTTTCTGCCTTTTTGGGCTCTGAATTCCAAGCCAATCATTCTCAACGCTATTAACTAGTTGGAAATCCCACTTCTAACTCCACAGTCGCTTCTCATTAATGATATTTCTAAATTTCTTATGACAAAAAATGTGAATTTTTTTTAATGTCTCCGGCACAAAAGCAAAAGTAAACTCCTAACTCCTGTTATTCAATCAACCGCAATTTTCCCAAGTCATATGAGTCGATCAACATTTCATCAAATAAGGCAATGACATGGTCGGATAATTTAACTTGAAAATCTTTTGGTGCTTTGTTTCGTAACAAATGTATAGTTTAACAACATTCATAAAGTGGTAACAAAATCAGAAATTAAATTCATGACAAAAAATTGGGAACACGATTAATTCTTACATCTAAGAAGCAAGATTTCATCTGTTGCAAGCATGTAGCCAACACTTCATCTTTTCTCTTGATGCCCTCACTAACTGCTTTCATCTCATGCTCCATGAGAGCTCTTAGGTGTGGTTTCCACAGTTTATACCTACGAAGAAAAGAATAATAAAAAAGAAAGCAGTTTAGAACTAGAATTATCAAGCTTTAAAGGAAGGTAACGGATGAGAGAAAGAGGATTTTTTTTTTTTAACAAGAAAACAAATTTTCGTTGAAATTTCCTTTGCGGGGAAAAATAATACTGATAATAGACTTGAGAATACACAATTAATACATGTGAATCTTTACACGAATTAACTTCTAGATAGAAAGAAACCAGTCATGTGACAATACCAATACTCTCTTTCTGACCTTCATAAATTATTGATCTTTTACAGTACCAAAATCAAGCCAAGACACATGCAGTGATGTCCAATTATGGCAACCATACCATGATTAAAATAATCTCCATTGCAAAGAGAATTTTCTTCACAATTTTACAACAAATGATTGGATCACATATTTTGTCATGCTTTAAAATATTGTTGCATCTACCATTATACTCTCAAATATACACTTTCTTAATTACTTCAGTACATTTTGGACAAGATATGAACTTCTTAATGGTTAATGAAAAGGAACAAAATTGATCAAAGGATACAACCTCCTAGGATGAGAGAAAGAACAAAAAGAAAAGAGAAAACAGGAAAGTAAAGAGGGAACATCATCCCAAACAAACAAGAAATATAAAAGACAATTTCTTTAGTACTGTTGTCAGTTAAATCAGTATCTCAAATTCATAATAGAAAAGATAAATTAAAGTTCAAAAAGTACCTACTAATTATAAATGTAGACACCTTTTGGCTTTCAATGGTGACAAAATATACGTAGTCAGAAAGCATTATCTCATTTTCTACTGCAAATAATAAACGACAAGCTACTTGGCTACTATGATTTATCTACGAGGGTAGCCAGTTTATTTCATGTTAACTTCTACACAGTGAAGGGTATTTGTTTTAACTCATGATCTATATAATACTCTAAAGAAAAGTACTCACCCCATGTCGTCATATCCCATAACCAAAGCCTCGCCCTGAAAGAATAGTAAACTTTTACAAGACACAGAGAAAACTAAATGATGGTAGAAAGAAAGTAAACAATAAAGTACTTCACAGGCTTCTCAAAGATACTATGAGAAATGTAATCCAATAAAATAAGAAATAAATGAATATCACTAAAACAACCATACATAGACACATGACAATTGACAATTTGGACTCTATCGAACATCAACTTCTCCACCAACCTCACCCTCAATAATATAGCTATAGCTAGTACAAATGATAGAACAAAAGGACACCATAAGATGGCTTCTTTCATCGTATTTGTGAAGTTTATGCCATTTGATTCTACCAATAAGTGTCGATCATGAGCATTGAAAAACTGCTACTAAACTATTTAAAAAATGAAAAGTAAATAAATAAATGAATCCTCTCTTTACAGTCAAATAATAGCAAATCTTTGTAAATACACAAATCGTTCCAAGTCTCATTTGTGATGTAGAATCCATCAGTCTTAATCTTCCTATGAGCAATTCAGCAACACTCCAAAGAAAGGAACTGAATATTTTAAGAAATACCTGCCAAGCCATCTTTACTAGGGTAATATTAGAATCAAATGAAAGGGATATCGAGTGGGTGGAAGATAGGATGAAAAATCATGAACAACGAAGTTCCTAAAGAGAGTCAAGGTTTCAACTAGATCTGCACCAGTGATGCAGATGCCATTAGTACCTTCAGCTGTGAAGAATGTTTTCTCAATGGTGAAGGACACTGGTGGAGATCAAGTGGATTAAGGGGAAGAGCATGGCAGGAAGCAGGCAGGAAGGGGAGGGTACAAAGAGAAAGGAAGTCATTTTTGGTACAGGTTTTCACTGACTCTAGTACCACAAAGTAAATGTGGAACAAGCTCCAACAATTAAGCACATCTTTCCAAAGTCTTTTTATTGACTCTAGCAGGAGAAGACAAGTTAACGAAGCTTAAAGAACAAGTACAAACCTGGACAAATTTAATGTTCAAGGGTTCCTATTTCTAAATAGGAAAATTCGCATTGATCCTATAAATAACACTTATGATTTTTTCCTCCAAGGATAATATAATGAGGGTTTCTCAAGTGGTCTCCCAATTCAATACTAACCTAAAAAAGACATATATTACAACAGTTACGACCAGCTCGTGCATTAATGATAATGTTGATAGCATTCACCTTATAAATCACATTTAGAAATGAAAGAAACATAAGAAAAAAAACAAATAAGGACTTCTGGACAAAATCCAAGCTCATTACAAGGTTAGTTGGTGTGAAGCGAGTGTTTGCATCCTTCGTTGCATAAAATCTATCCAACAGCTTCTTGATGTGGTCATGCATTGTTGCATCTGTACCAATTCCCTCCTTAAAGAATGAACAAAAAAAGAACTTAATAAAAAATAAAGGCTTCACCGCTCTATTGCAATATAAATTCTAGTCCAACATAAAGGTTCAAACCCAAAAATTTGATAAGCTCAGTTGGCAAACACATCTTACTTACCTTATCCATACAAGAAAGCAAATCAGCTTCACTCAGAAGGGGAGGTGGTCTCGTGACTCCTGAATCAAGAGTTAATGTTGTTGGCACAAACTGTGAAAGAAATGGCCAAAAGGGATATAGTTATTGAGGCCTTTAATTACCTGTTCTACAAAAAAAATGTCAAGTTCAACCTCCTCACTCTAAACGCCAAACAATGCTCTCAAATGAGTGTGTATGATTCTTGCTTACTAATTTAGTTACGCATCAGGTCTTTCTTCAGTTTAAGATAGACCGTGTAACATTGTATAGTAAGAAAGGGGAATTGTTCAATTCAATTTACCTTGATATTTAGTCCATTGCATGAAACTTTCCCATATATGAATAATGAATGAACTGATCTATCTGCATGATTGTGATCGATTTGCCCAAGGGCAACAATATGCACGAGAAGGACTACCATAATAGACAAATCAATATACAACGTAATGAGTGAACAGAAACCTGTTGCCCAGAAGCGTAAGTTGGAATAGTTGAACCTCCCCATGATTCAAAGCGGTAAACATCCAGGTAATTTCTCTGGTCAAAGGAGCGCAATCAAATCAAACAAAATCAATGTTTTAATGAATTAAGTTGATCAGTCGAACTAATTTTAAAAAGTACATCCTTTTTTACTGCATGATCAATAAAAGGATGGTGACAAAACATGATTGCGAAATGTTTCAAACCCTAAAATTCGATTGTAACTTGCTAATACTATTTTTAGTATTTATCATATGCAAGCGGGTGATAACTAAGAGAAACAAGGCAGTAATAGTAAATAAAAATTGAAACAAAGGAAAGTAATTATAGAGATTTAAATGCATAAGAAAACATGGACCAATCACAGGATTTAGTTGAATGAGCTGAATCATTTCCTTAGGGAGATGATGAGTTCTACCTTCAACATAATTATTAATATTACTATTTCCAATTATCACATGACATTAGGTTGTTCTTTTTGTTCCCTTTTTGGAATGAAGTGGTCTCTAGCTTATTAGTTTTTTTTTTTTTTTTAAATAATATACTGCGAAACCTAACAATTGTGCTTGTTCTGTAAGACATAAGAGTGGAGGCGTTCAACATGGTGGGCTGTCAGGTACATGCGGCTCATCCCAGCTTGCCAATCACCAAGGCATTACCTCAAAATACTATTCGTCATTTTTAAATATAAAATATTCAGAAAATTTATTAGAAAACTTACTGCTAGTATCATTCTCCCAGATGTAGAAAACAACTCGCCAGCAATATCAATTTCAACAGTAGTTACAGCACCTACAGCTGGCTGTGAAACACATGCAAGGAAATGGCGAACGACTAGCTCATATAATCTCTGGGAAGAAAAAATCTCACAATTATTGATGACTAAGGACTACAAGATGACAATTAGGGGGACCAAAATAAACACAGATATGCAATTTAACAGACAAAAAGAAAAACTTTTACATGGTGATCTTGACTCCATCCACGTTCCCCAGCAGAGAACTTTGTTGGGTGAATAGGTGGATGGGCTTTGTCATCATGCCCGCCACCACTAGGATTCCTCCAAAGTCCTGATCCAGGATCCAGCAACCTCTGTGCATATGCTCCCCATATTTGGTGTTCTTGTTGTTCTTGCACAATCCCCTATATTATTGAAACTCTTAAGCACCCATTAATTCAACAAGCAAAGAGAATAACGTTGAGCCCATTAGACATCTTTCCCATTTTTCACTAGAAAATGCTATGATTGCACGGATAAAGTTATATATCCATTTGTAAGATGAAAGGTATGCATATCTAATAGCTTTAGACTCAAACTTTCAAGTAAGCTAGCAAGCCTTCGTTTAAACAAAACTTTTAATTTAGAATATTATGTAATAAATGAACCGGAGAGTTTATGAACCTACACCTTATAATGGGAAGCATCATTGCTAACCACTTCAGCTTTACTCATCGGAAACTAAGGAGCCTTTGTTCAAATTCAGTGTTAGAAAAGGCAAATGGTTGATCCCAAAGGTGGGAAAACACAAGTATTCTACACCTTTTTATTTCAATAAAATAAATACATTATTACAATGACAGTTCTTTAAGCTTACTTCAATTAAAGAACATGAAAAACCAGGAGTTAAAAGCAGCCAAATAGTTCAAACTCAAAATTGTTAGCTCAAGTAAGAAAAAGTTGCCAGTGAGATTGGTAATGGAGATCATCACCAAAACATATACCTACATGAAGATCAGTCCTTTGAGAAAAGCAATCAGTCTCTGTACGGGGATAACTAATGAAACCTGCTTGGTATAGATCTTCAGCCACCTTAAAACAGCCAACATAATTTATAACTTGTTTATTACCAATATGAAAAAGGTTCAATAGTAAATTAAATAGCATTGACACAAACGAGAGGATCATTACCTAATACACCTACTTCCATAAAATAATTTTGCGTCAGATACTCAAAAGGCACAATGAGATGAAATAAGTTGATGAATGCAAACTTATTAGTAATGAAGCAAAGATAAGTCTTGGCTGCTAACCTTCATGGTGTGTTCAGAACTCATGCGGAAGTACCGTGAAGCTCGTTTTTCAAGCTCGATTGTATTCAATGGATGAGGAGGGTACTTTAACGTCTCTTGTCGTCTAACATTTACAACCTAAATAGAATTGAAAGATTATAAATGCAGGATCAGCATGCATTATTACACCTAGTTAAACTTCAACATACTCACCGTAGCAGTCGATTCTTCTACGCACATTTCATAGAGTACAACAGCACAAGTATAATCAAATAGATTCCCTCTTCTACAAAATGAATATACCTAATAATTACCAACAGTTACAGTTTGGCACGAAAAGCTTGAAATTATCAAAAAAATCAAGTCATTAGCAACTTACGTCCAACTAAATGTAGAAATTCCGTCACCAGAATTGTGTGAACAGTTGATCGTCCAAAATTCTTCTGGCTCATGGGACTGAATCTCCCAATACCGCTCAACAACAAAACCAAGTGTAGGAAACTAGGACCAAAGGAAGCAAGAAGGCATACCAGTAAGCATCACCAGCAGTGGAATACAAGTAAGAAAAGAATGTACAGCACGCATCTTCACATACCTGACAAGGTCCATAACTCAAAACAACATTTCTGTCATCACCGACAGAATCAATATTAAATGCATCTTTCAATAGCATAGTTTGGAACCTAGTGAAAGAAGCACCGATTCTTAGATCAATTTCCTGCAAGTATAAAAGTAACCGTAGTTATAGTAGTAAACAGAATGCACTTCCAGAAAGTTAGATCCTACAAAATACTGCTTCTCAATTACAACAAAATGGAAGTTCTACAAAAATAAAAATGCAATTACTTGTCTAGCATCAACAGCATCAGCAAAATATTTATTTGGTTGGACAAGATTTTGCACAGCTTCGTGAATATCCCTGAACTCAAGATTATCATATACAATGTAGACGTAATGAGCTTTTGAAAACTACATCGCAAAATGGAAAAAAGATTTAGGATATGGAACCTTTCAATCAAAGCAGAGAAGTGGGCTCTCTTAATGTTGAGATGACGATTCACCGTTGTACAAACTTCCACCACTTCAAATGCAATATTCTCTCCTTCTCTATCACAATCAAGCCAAAGGACGAGCCATTGACACCTTCTAGCTTCTTGTTCCAATGTCCTCTTTATGTCCATCTTGTCCTGACAACAACTTTAACTTCAATGAAAATCCAGCTCAAAATTTGACATAAAATGCATGGACTACAATATAGACCTCATACAGCTTTGCGCACAGCGTGAATTTTAATGGCATGTCCATGTGGAAATTATGGGACTTGTGAGGCGAGAGTTCCTTGGCGAGGTTTCAAAATACTTGTTTGATACACTCTTATCAAAAAAAAATACTTGTTAGATAGTGCTTGGATGTGGAAGGAGGGCAATCAAGAAAAGGAAAAATTGCTAAGCCAAGCCAAGCCAAGTTTTTATAGGTCAATGGTGTTATACAAATGGCAGGGGCTCTAGGAGAGCAATTAGATTTCTAGAGTTTTTGGAGTACATGTTCCAAGCAAATCATGGAAGGCGTCATCTTTTATAGGTATCTACCTCTTGAATGGACCATAGTAATCAACCCAATTTAATGACGCAGAATGCCCTCTCAATAATTTTCACCTGATCCTATCTACATCCGACATTAAAAATAAAAAAAAATTAAAGTCCATAGTGATCAGCCCATTTTTCAGCTAGTTGTTACGCGAAAACCTTCAACAACCGCAACTCTGATGTGGTAACTCCAAAAGGAAGATGCATTGACGAAAATCAAAAATAGCCACTTGAAATTTGCCATAGGATGGAATTGGCCTAACTGTAGACCTTTCCAAAAGGCCATAACTAGGACCACAGATTGGATGATCCAGTACCACTCTGAGGCATAGAGGAGGGATCCTTTTATATAAATGGGTACAAACTGAAGCATCTTAATACGCCAACCCTTACACGGATTTTGTCTAAAATAAGGCTAATAGTAAGGACCGTTGGTCCTCCTTTCAAAATCTGCTACAATCTAAACTCACAATGCAGTGAATGCTACATATGAAACGCATCTATTTGTATCTATTATGCAAACACCAAGCGCAAGAATGCTGTCTATAAAGCAAAGCAAAGTAAAATGCAAGTAAGAAGAAAACGAGACAGACCTCGGGGACTAATTTGCGGACGGGAGCGTTAAAGAGCTCGACTGGGTCGCAGGAATGCCATTTGCGATACCGTTCTTCGAACTCAAGCTCCATGAGATGGCCAGTAACGGAGGTAACGAGCATGTTGCAAGACTGACCTCGAATGGCGTAGTTGAACTCGAAAATCTTGTTGTAGCGAGAACGACCTTCACGAACTCGAAGGCCCTGGTTCCTCGAGAGTATGGTGGCCACAGATTTCGCCACCGATGGCTTCTCTGCTACATTGAGGACGGTAATCGGACGGCCGCCGGCCATGGCTACTGCACCGCCCGTGTCCGAGTAACAGCTCTGGGATTTTGGAGGGAATGAATAAATTGGGTTTACTTTCTTTTCTTTTTTGAATAAAAGTGTTATTTTCTTTTTCTATGTTTAAAACCCCTTATTTATTTATTCATTCATACATACATACATACATACTACATACATACATGAATAAATAAATAAATAATAATAATAATAATAGTTATGAATTTTGCAATATTAAAACAATATTATCACAATCCAAACAATATCAAAAGTCTTATAATTTTTATAATATGAGTTGATATCACATGTTATAATTCATCCAATAAAATTAATAAGAAACACATGATTTAATTAAAATTTTATAAAATAATTAAAATAAACTAAGGCCGATTGACCAACTCCTTATCAATTCCGATTCATTTAATTCATTATATTTAAACTTTAATTTTTTAATAAATTTGATATTTTGTTGGATGATGAAAGTCCTACATCTAGCTAATTTAGGGAATGATGATGGGTTTATAAACAAATAATACTTTATCGGTTGATTGTGAGGTCTTTGGGAGAGCCCAAAGTCATGAGAGTTTATGTTCGACACATGATTTAAACGCTTATTCCAGATAGTTGATGAATAATAGAGATTTCCACCCAATCCAAGTTATCGAACCATGTGATGGGCAACTATTTTACGGGATTCAGACTTGATACTCAGGTCAGGCATCGGCGTTCGAGTGTTTCGAGAACTTTCAAGGTCGTGGGATATTTATGTTTATATCAAAAGTTGAACAAAAACGTGAAAAGTTCAGCAAAAACAGGAAAAATTCAACGCAATTGGAGGTTTTGGAGCCATCAAATTGGACCTTTTTGGTCGTTGGAACCAAAAAGATGGAAGAAACATGGAACCCAAATAGTCGCGGTCCCCTTATTTTGCTATATTTACACATCAGTCCTTCCTTTTCAGTTTACTTCACATTTGGCCCAAATCTTTCCCCTTATTACTTGTATGCATAATTGAATTTTGGTTTAATTATTATTCACCAAACTTTCCAATTTGATTCTTATATTATTTTTTTCATTTTAAAATATTTTATTTACGACAAACATTTTAAAAAGAAATATAATTATAATTCAATTTTTTATTTTACCTATAACAAATTATTTTTTTCATTTTTTTAAAATTAAGCTTAGGAACACTAATTTCACATCATGTTTTATTTATTTTATTATTCACTTTTTGCAATATTTTTAAAATTTAAGTAAAAAAATATATTGTTTTTTACTTATTTAAAAAAGATTAATATTTATATGATTGGAAATTGATATTCCTTTTTCTAAATTAGGATTAAGAAAAGGAAAGGAATTGAGTAATTTTACATTTTTTACGTTTTTTTTTAATATAAAAGGCTCAACAACTTTACTACTTTTACAATTTTGACTCGTTCTGTGGGCCACAAAGAGAAATAAGAATAAAAGAGGCCCTCCAATGCAAAAAGCGTACAAAACGAAAGAGAAGCGAAACCCAGACGTCGAGTCCATAAGAATCAACGGACTATATAAACCCGCTCTCGCTCCTTCGAAGTTCATATCCCCAAATCAAAATTTCCTCAATTTTCATATTCTTCTTTCTCTTGCTCTCTCGTCACAGAATCAACAGTTGAGAGAGAGGGAGAGAGAGGGAGAGAGAGAGACAGATTAATGGCGAAATTTGTGGAATTGTTGGATGTAGGAGTGAGAATGGCGGCGAGATTTCACGCTCACTGTCCCCAAACTGCTCGGCTTTACTATCACCCTCCCTCCGATCACGACGGCGACAACCACCACCACTATCTGCACCAGTTTTTTCAAGCCAACGACGGCTTCCGGCACGGCGGACACTCGACGGACCAGGTGATGGCCTGTGGAGTGGAGACGGTGGCTATGGCTAGGGGTTTTGATGCTGAGATCGTGTTTCATACGGCAGATTTTTGACGATTTGATTTTATTAGGGTTTTGTTAGGGTTATTCTTTGTCTATTTGATTTGTGCATGCCATTACACATGCCAATTGAGAGGTGAATTTGTTATGAATATACGATTGTTATGCACTAAGTTCATAGTTCATTCCGGAAATTCCAAGTTGAAAAACTAGAATTTGGTTAAACTCGTGAGTTTGAAATAATTTGTGGAGTGGTTGACGAAGAAGAAACGCGTTTTCTCTGGTGTTTTTGTCGTTTCGGAGTAGTTCAAAGTTCCGAGTCGTTGAAGATGGATGGTTTCGGGACTTAAGTGCATGTTGTTGCGGGGAATCTCTTGAATCATGTGCCCTAGTTAACGCCTTCCCAGCTAGTTATTCCTCCCATTTATTATAAGAAACAAATTTAGTATAAGAACAAAATTCCAACTACATGCATTCCAACTTGACTTTGGCCCTCCAAAATTGAACAATTCTTATAATTCTTTGGAATTAGGATTACCGATGGAGGCTTTCTAATTTTACTTGGAATCAAGTTGGGTTAGTTGGGGTTGTCGGGTTCAATATACACTTCTAGCGTTGTTTCACTTAATCTCTTAACATTCTATGGAGAGAGTGATACAATATAATGGAAGGAAAAAGATCATATATGAGAAAAGATATAAGCATACTATTCACCAGTAATCCTTACAAGAACAAGTACCCTCGACGAACTTATGGAATCGAACTCGATCTCGTACAATGATTTCCCTTTCATAAATCTTACTAATCATCTTAATCACTTCATGGCAATCTCCACATACTCTCAGATTCTTCACTACCCTAATCACAACAGGTGCTCTAGTTTTTAGTAGCCCATATGCAATAGCAAATCTCTCACTATGCTCACCTAGAGCTCCTTCTTTCTCTTCATACATGACTTTATGAAGTACATCTGAAACACTAGGTCTATACCCAGAATCCCACACTCGCCTAGCCATCTCTTCCATAAACTCCCTCAATATTTTCACCTCTGGATGGGACTGATCACCCATCACAAACTCATGTACAACGCCATCGACTTCGATCGAGCTACAACCAGGTATCGGCTTTACGCTGTTCTCCTTCATCTCCTTTCTTAGTTCACTCATCTTCTCCCATTGTGAAACAGAAGAATATAAATTTGAGATCACAATATAGTTCTCTGCATTTAAGGGTTCTAGTTGAAGAAGATACCTTGCGACGATCTCGCCTAGATTCGACAGCCTTTTCTTCTTACAACCCTTTAGCAAACTCCGCCAAGTTGCAGGATTTGATGGGATATTTGTCGTCGTAACGATTCTATAAGCTTCTTCAACGAGACCTGATCGGCAGAGTAAATCAACTATGCAACCATAATGCTCAACTGATGGCTCAATGCCACATTCAAGCATGAGGGACCAAATCCTTTGACCTTCAGAGACTATTCCACCGTGAGCACATGCTGATAAAATGCCAATGAAAGTTACACGGTCCGGCATCACCTGAAAATCACCACAGAAATAACAAGTTTTTATATTGTATATGTCTATCAAACAAAAACTAGAACTGACACATAGAAGAATGAACTTGGAAAGGAAGAAACGTGCCATTAGAGATCAAACAAGAATGTTAATCTTATCAGAAGTAGAATTGGAAGTTCATGAATGTAATTGAAGCTTTTCAAAGTTCATTAACAATTAAGAAATTTGTACATCTTCGTACATTACCTCAGCTTCCAACATTTGTCGAAACGCGGCAATGGCATCCTCCGAAAGTCCATGATATGCAAACCCCATAATCATGGAGCTCCAAGCTCTTGTATCTCTCACAGGCATATGAACAAAGACCTGCTTCGCCTTCTCAATGCATCCGCATTTAGCATACATATCTACAAGTGCAGTGCCAAGCTCGAGATCGGTCAAAACAGAACGTTTCTCAATATAAGCATGCACCCAGCTGCCAATATCCAAGGCCCCCGCCGCAGCACAAGCCGAAACCACACTCACTAGAGTCACCGCATCCGGCTCAATCCCGGCCTTCTGCATCTCCCTAAACAACCCCAGAGCTTCATCAACTGCTCCAACCCTCACGTGCCCACTAATCATCGCAGTCCATGCCACCAAGTTTCTCTCAGGCATTTCGTCGAACACCTTCTTGGCAAGACCAATCTCTTCACATTTCCCATAAAAGTTAACCAACGAAGTTTGAACAAACGAACTACTACCAAACCCATCTTTCAAAACACGGGAATGAACCTGTAAGCCCTCTTCAAACGCTGTAACAATCGCACAAGCCTTGAGAACAAAAGCCATAGTGAAGGAGTTCGGAACAGGGTACCCTGTTTCACTCAGCTTTTTGAACAAAGCTATCGGTTCCTTGGAAGGGTTTTGAATCTTGGAACAGCCCTTGATCAGAGAATTCCAAGAGAAAATGCTGGTACGAGCAATTTGAGCGAAAACTAAGCGGGCATAATCGATGTTGCCGAGCGGAGAAAGAGCACAGAAGGCAGTGATTTTAGAAAGCGCAAAGGAAAATGTGGAAAGAGGAAGTGGGCGTGTGAGAATGTGGGCGTGAAGCTGCCGGAGCACTCTCATGTTGGGACATTTTCTGATGAGGAACGCAAATCGTTCTTCTTCTTCCAGTTCTTGACTGTTCTTGAAGCTCCCAGCTCTGGTGATCCAAGGATGATCGGAGGGAAAACGAGAGGCGCTGCCAAGCTTTCTTACCTCTTAATTTTTGAGGTTATACTAACTTTAATTTTATATTTAATAATGTTTGAAATATAATTGCTCAAATTTTATTTTAATAATAAATAAATAAATAAATTTTCACTAAATTTGTAATTTTCAAACCTGTATTTTATATAATCATACTAAAAAATATGTTTTTAAGTACAAAATGGAAAATTTTAAACTTGGAAATAAATAAATAAATAAATAAATAAATAAATATATAAAAGTAAATAAGGTTTATATTTAATAATAAAAAGATATGAATTACTGAGGTCGATAAAAGCTCAATAATACAACTCATAAAGTTTTTAACGTGAACGTGAGATGTATTAGGTTCTTTTAATTATGCTCTTCCATTGGGTGAATTCAG